CGAGCAGACGGATCACCTGATGGTAAGCAATCGGCGCAGACACAGGCGTTACAAGTGCGTTACCTGCCTTTTAGAAATTGGGAATTTGAGGATTGTGGGGGATTTTGGAATTGGAGAGACTGGGGTGTTGGGTAATTGGGCCTCCGGTCAACTCACTCACATGACGATATACAACGCCAGCGTTGCTTCACGTCGGTTTTCTGTGAGGCCGTTTTATCACTGCGGTCGAACCGGCCCATTCGTGCCAACTTTAAGTGTGTCAGTCGAACCCAGAATCTAACACTTAACGGTAAAATATCCAACCACTTCACTACTATAACCAAACAATACCTAAAAAGCAGGATTAATTAAACGAATAATACCTAAGCACAAATTCATTTCAGTCCAATTTACTACGGTACACTATCCTCATATTTCCAGTTTTCAGAGTTCCTGAAACAAGCTGAAATATAATTGCGAAATTAATTTAATTTGCTAGACAGACGGACTTTCAGCTGAAAACGGATAGAAGTAATGTAGCTGAAATATGACAGACTAAGGATCTTCTGAATTCAACAGGTATAGTTGTTTGCAATGAAAGGGATGAATTTCATGTTTGTATTTTAATGGCTATTTTGTAATTATGACAGTTTATAGTGATCGTGATGTATGAACTTGTGTGTAGTGTGGGAGAACCATGCTTCGGCACGAACGGGCCGGCTCGACCGGAGTGATACCACGGCCTCACAGAAAACTGACGTGAAGCAACGCTTGCGTTGTGTTTCGTCGTGTGAGTGAGGTTACCGGAGGCACAACTACCCTCCCCTTCCCCAATCTCCCCAATCCCTGAATCCCCAACGATCCTCAAATTCCTAATCCCCAAAAAACCGGTGACGCACTTGTAACGCCTCTAGTGTTTCAGGTATTCATGGGCGGTGCCGATTGCTTACCATCAGGTGATCCGTCTGTTTGTTTACCGACTTATTCTATAAAAAAACTAAAAAAAAATCAAGAAAATATCTCTTGAAAAATTTCAAATGACAAAAATACATGACAAACTAAAATATTCACAACACAGTTTCATGAAAGACAACTGAAAAACGACACATAATACAAACCCTTCACAGTTCTTCATGTCCATTTTAATTACGTCACAGCCTTGTATTCAGAGAAATTAAAAGGAAAAAATATGACGTTTTCAAAATTTAAACCTCCGTTGTTTTTACGAAAGGGTTGAGTATAGAGTTGTATTATTTCATTTCGTAGTAATATTATATTACTGTGTAGTCATAATAATATATGGTTAGGTTACTAAACGTCGGAGTATAGTATAGTTTATATTAAGGGTTCTTCAAGAGGGAATAGGTTTCTTAAACTGTCAAACACTAAGCGGTCACCGGTGACCGCAACCTATTGTTCTATAATTGTGTCTATAATGACGGTACTCGACGAGTTAAGGGTCAGCAAGACGCATGTGTTGCAGGCGTACATAGGCCACGGTAACCGTTTACCATCAGGTGGGCCATGTGCTTTTTTGCCACCGTCGTCGTGATATAAAAAAATGTGTGGTATAGCCATGCTTCGGCACGAATGGGCCGGCTCGACCGGAGTGACACCACGGCCTTACAGATAAAGGACGTGAAACAATACTTGCGTTGGGTTTCGTCGTATGGGTGAGGTTATCGAAGGGCTAGCTACCCCCTACCAAACTTCTCCAATTCCTGAATCTCCAACAATCCTCAAATTCCTAATCCCCAAAAAACCGGTTACGCACTTGTAACACCTCCGGTGTTTCAGGTGTCCATAGGCGGCGGTGATTGCTTATCATCATGTGATAAGTTTGCTCATTTACCGGCTTATCCCAAATTAAAACAAATATTATCTTCCTAAAACCAAAGTATTCAAAAAAAGACGCACAGAGCTCTATAGCTTAACAATTTAGATGATAACAACAGAATATAAAATATTTTTGGGGCACGGAAAAGTGCACTTAAAACTAACAAAAATAAAGTTCACAAATTCACTTACCTACGCACCCCAAAAACTTTGCCAAAATAGAATAAACCCTTAAACTATGAGAACCCATAAAACGACCAAAACCCTTTCAATACAAAAAACATCGACAACACAAAAAATGTAAAACACATAAAAACTGCCCTGCAAGTGGCCATCTTGCAAAAACCGAAAAAAACTTGGAAAATAAGAAAATATCATTGTTATTCGTTATTCTACTTCACACGAGGCTCTCTGTCCCCCCTCCCCCCGAAAGCCACCGCTACGCTCTTCGAATACCAAATAATAATTATTTACTTGCTGTTGAGGTAACCTTCAACTAGAATGGATATAGTACGCGAAAATTTTGGGATAAAACTATCAGGGCGTGTTTAATTAAGTGATTTTTTTTATATATTTTTTTTTCTATCCTTGTCTAGTAATGTTTGCAGTTGAAACCTCTACAACATCCATTCATAAATTGGATAATTATTAAAAAAAGAACTGTATAGTTTTAATAACCAATTAAAAATAGCACTGTTTGCTGTATACGATTCTTATCCAGATATTTTTTTGTCGTGGAGAACCTATCGGGTTACCGGGGCCCCAGCTCGAAGTGCAGGAGAAGGAACGGGGTGGTTTTTAGTCAGTAAGAGTCTGACACTCCTTACCGCCTCACCCAGGCGGGAGCAGTAATTCGATGATTTTCCCCACTTAAAAATACCCCCGGATTTTTTATGATAATTATTTTCCCTCCAAAAAAAGTGTTTCTTAATTTCTTACTTGACTTTAAGTGAATAGGTTTTCATTTATTGAAACCATTGTTTGACTAAATTTCATTAAAATAACAAGATCATCTATACACTACAATATTAATATAAATAAAAATGACTTTCCGTTCGTTAGTCTCGCTGAAACTCGAGAACGTCTGGACCGATTTGTCTAATTTTGGTCTTGAAATGTTCGTGGATGTCCAAGTAAGGTTTAAAAGGCGAAAGATTTTTTTAGGCGGAACGAAGTTTGCCGAAACTGCTAGTATTTCAATAAAAAAATTGTGTGAAGTAAAATATTTTCAGTTCACAATTTAAGATCTAATTTAGTAAATTATAATACAAATTAATTTACTAGTCTATAAAAACACAACACGAATCAATCGCGTTTCCCACAATCTTACATACAAAAATCCAGATCTGGACATTTCCCGAAAATTCCTCAGCGTAGCCACCCCATGTGAGGTGCGGGACGAATGTGTTCGCGTACGTATTCGGAATGCTACCAACCAAGTTTACTTTTTTTTTTTCTTGTAAAAGATTTTCAGGAGGGCTGTTTATTGACCCCCTTATAAGGTCGCGGGAGACTCCATTATCTGTATAATTTTATGAAGTGCGCCTAATATGGTGTGTGGTTTTAAGGAAATGGCTTTTCTTTTGGGTGATAAAATATGGAGGATATTTTTCGATATGAACTTTGGTTTAAGATTTAAGGTAGATCTGCCTCGTTGGTCGCAAGTGCACTGCCGGTCAAGAG